TGACAAGCATCCTCAGAGGTTGTGAGTTCACAACCTCTGAGGATGCTTGCCATAGATGCAGGTGAAACATCAGGAGAAAATGCTTCTAGAACATGGCCATATAGCCCGAAAAACCTACACCATCCCAACTTTAAATACTGGCGGGATTTGGAGGGATTAGACCTTGGATGTTGGGAGTTATAGTTYACCCATATCCAGAGAGCATTGAGAACCCAAACGAAGATGGATCTTGACCAAACTTGGCATACATACCCAACATGAACAACTTCGAATAATGACAAGGTTTAAATTGACCCACAGTGTTAGGAATTGCAGTTCATACACAATCAAAGACCACTGTAAACCCCACCAATGATGGATCTTGACCATACTTGGTACACATACTCAATATGACCAACTTTGAATATTGGTGGTGTTGGAGAAAATGGATCCATGAGATTGGGTGCTGTAGTTCACTAACAATCAATGAACACTATGAACCCCACTGGTGATGGATCTGAACCCAACCTGGCATGCATCCTCAATGTGACCGACTTTACATACTGGCAGGGTTTGGAGAGTTGTAGTTCACCGATATCTTTATGCTTTTTCTAATGGGATCATTCATATAATCAAACAACAAACAATGACTACTTCTAATATTATCATTACAAAATACTTCCCGGGCATTGTATTTCATGGCTGCAACCTAGTTCCATAAATTACAATACACTGTGTTTGCTTGGGTTTCTGAGCAGGTTTGTGCTCCAGGGAGCAGGCCAGGGGTTTACTTTGGTCCCAGTGATTTTGTAGGAACTTTATGAATCAGTCATGCCTGGTTGAAGTAATGTGAGATGGTGGTCTCAGAAGTATTTCCGGACTACAGTTTGTCTGTTCTAGCCTTTGATCCTGAGGATCTCAATGTAGAGAATACACAGTTTAGATCCAATCTAGTCACAGTTACTCCAAAGCTCTTATCTGGTTCTAAGACTATCTTTGAAAATTCCCCAAACAGTTTGTTTACATTACCTCCCTAATTATTTTTTTTAATTGTATACAAGTAACAACAAAAACCAGAACAAATAAGACTCTGAATGGGTATCCATTACGCAATCTCTGCCTATAAATTAAGCCATACTTCAATGGAGTACAAATTGGCTTTTTTTGTGATTCCTCTACTCAATACCAATCCATCCTCAACCACAAAGCTCAGTGATACTTATAATCTATTAAGCACATATTCTGCAAGCATGGCCCTTAAAAAAACTTTTTTATGAAGAGTTCCCTTTACTAACTTTTTAGTGAATTTGGGGTTCCCCACAAGTTATAAGAATCCTTTCCTTTCTCATGACATGTAACTTTAAAAGGCAAACTGTTACAGTCAGTAGAGTGGTGGAAAAGGTACTTTTTCATTTTTCTCTTTGGAGATTGTCCCAAATCTCTGCATATTAACAATAACTATATATTAACATTAATTCTGAAATGTAGGTTAAGCCCCTTATATATTTTACTAGGTTTCTTAATATGATAGAATTTTCCAATTCAAATGTAAAATTTTGGAGCAAATTTTGAACTACGCATACAATTTGCTTGCTTTTATATGTGAAAAAAATCTTTTTTATGTGATCTAACATTTAATTTTGCTTACAGCGATCCTGCTTCACTACTGCCCACTCCTTTTTTCCCCCTCAGTGACTATAAATTAGCATTTAAGTCTGAATATATAATTTTCATTGACATTTTCACCTCACCATAGTTGTGCATACTTCTAGTTACAGAAGCAAAAAGAAGAAACATCAGTTATCTTATTGTCTATGTTTTTATTTTAATTGCTTGTATTGTTGTTGTTATTGCTTGTATTGTTGTATTTGGGCTCCGCCTCATGAAAGCCGCACCGAGACCCTTGGGGAGATGGTAACGGGGTACAAATAAAGTGTTATTATTATTATTATTTAGTTCCCAACATTAGGATAAGATTGTCTTTTCTGATAGTTTTGACTAGTTTGTGGCTGGAACAACCACAGGAGTAAATACAAACAAACAATTCACTCAATTAATTCCTTACCCAATTAATTATGTTTTTGTGAAATAAAGGAAAGGTATTGGTCTAGACTAGGCTTGGGCAAACTTTGGCCCTCCAGGAGTTTTGGACTCCAACTCCCACAATTACTAACAGTCGGTAGGCTATTAGGAATTGTGGGAGTTGAAGTCCAAAACATCTGGAGGGCTGAAGTTTGCCCATGCCTGGTCTAGACACTATTTTCCCCCCTTGGCCATGTGAGGACAGAGACAAAGGCCAGTGAAATTTAACTCCATTAGCAGTAGTTACTTTACTTATGTTTCTAACATCACTTTTCTCCTCTTATATGGTTTTAAAATATATTTATCCTCATGAAAAAATGAGCGCAGCCTCAATGTGTTTTGTACATTTTGATTGGCCAACAAAAGCCTTGTCCTTTTATAGATTTTGGGTTTTGTTTTATTTTGACACTGCATAAGACATCTCCATATTTCCATACAGCTTTAGGAGTGTGAAAGATGGTAGCAGGGCAGTCATGCATTGGGGGCCAGAGTCTTACTCCTTTGTTTCTGATTTTTGGCATTTCTGCCACAATACTGTAGAGTGAGTTACGCAAAATACCAGCAGGCCTGCCTTCACTTGCCTGTGTAGGTCATTTTGGTGTAAAATAACTGGCTTTTTGGAAACCTTCCCAGACTTGACTGAGCAAATTTCCTCTGAAAGCCAAGTGTTTTTTTACTATTATGAATACAGTTAGCATAATCTGCATACTCTAGTTATGTGACTTATACTACACTTTTCACAAGATGTATTCTTATAATTATTTAATGGATTATATCCAACAGTGTTCTTCTTTTTGCAGAAGATCCTATAAGGAAAGGGAAACTATTCATGCTGAGTTTCCTTGCAAAACCATTGTTCCAAAATATTGTGAGATTAGAACTGTGCAAATAGTGTGGGATCAGAGCTGTTTGTGGGGTAAATCCCCATGTTGATTGTTAAGTGGCCTTTCTAGGGTCAATTTTTTTTCCAAAAATGAAAGGACTCATTCCTTTAATACAGAGGTTCCCAATCTGTGTCCATGGACCACCAGTGGTCCGCAAAAACCAAAATATGGTCCGGTGCCTCACCATTACTACACTGTTGGCTCAAAACCAACCAGCAATGAAAGCAACTGGTCTCACGAAAACCCTGTTATAGAGCCAAGGCAACGAGGATGTTGGAAGAGGAGTGACTGACTACGAAAGATTACTACTACCACATCAGCTCTAGATTATTCAATATGGTTTTCTGTGGGCTAGCAGATGGCGACTACTGGATGGCATATGTTTTGTGTCAGAAACTAGAGCTGGCGTGGTCTATCCAATGCAATTTTCTGAATCAGCACCCCCAAATAACCAGAGCAACTGGTCTTGCGAAACCCTCTTTTAGTGCCAAGGCAATGGGGATGCCAGGAGAGGAGAGACTGACTAGGCACAAAAGATTACTACTACCCCCATCAGCTCTAGATTATTAAATATGGTTTTCTGTGGCCGAGCAGATGGCGACTACTGGATGGCATATGTTTTGTATCAGAAACTAGAGCTGATGTGGTCTATCCAATGCAATTTTCTGAATCAGCACCCAAATAACCAGAGCAACCGGTCTCGCGAAACCCTCTTATAGTGCCAAGGCAATGGGGATGCCAGGAGAGGAGAGACTGCCTACCCAYGAAAGATTACTACTACCCCATCAGCTCTAGATTATTAAATATGGTTTTCCATGGGTGAGCAGATGGCGACTACTGGATGGCATATGKTTTGTTTCAGAAACTAGAGCTGATGTGGTCTCTCCAATGCAATTTTCTGAATCAGCACCCCCAAATAACCAAAGCAAATCTAAAATTGACCAAAAACTGATTCATAACCCTTTTGGTACTAAGGTTGGAGAGTGGTCCCTGGTCAAAGTGGTCCCTGGTCAAGTGGTCCCTTGCCAAAAAAAAAAAAAAAAAAAGGTTGGGAACCACTGCTTTAACAGGAAGCCATTGGGTATGGTTTGCAGTCGTGGCTGATCCCTGTCCTACTCTTCTGAGACCTTTTGTGAAGATGTTGAACCTGAAAAAGTGCCTTCAGGTTTTCCTTTGGCAGACAACATAGGGAAGGGTACATTTATATAGATTTTGCTCTTGTGTGGAAGATGCTTTGGCAGTTTAGATATGCTGATCATAGACAATTCACATCAGAAACCTATTTGATCATGAAAAGGGCATTTATGATCCCAATTCCAGCTGTTTTCTAAAATGGCAGCATTAGTATACTGTAATCTGCCTCAGAGATAAAGTTATAAGAGAAAAGTCAGCCTGAGAAACACACTATGATTTGCCTTGCTTTAAATCATGCCTGGTTTTTTTGTTCCCTCCCCCACCAAATCGTTTCTCATCTGGAACACATTTTAGCAAAACCAGACATGTATTACTGTTTGCAATGTGGACCTCGTTTGTCCCATTTTGTAATACTATTTAAATAGCTTTCACAGCTGTCTCCTAAAGTCCTTGATAAAGATATGGAACAAAGGAAGAGGAAAACAGAGAAGGGAGGAGGAAACAGAGTTAAATACTGAATTCTGGAAATAAATAAGGGCTGCCTGAAAAATCTTAATGAGCATATACTGAATACATACTTATATCATACAACTTAAATGTTTTTGCAAGATGTTTCTTAGAGAAGATGAAGCCAGCCCATTCCTTCGTCATGAACTATATTCAAGCATAGATATCTATATATGAACTAACCCTTAATTCTTACTTAAGGTACTTTCTGTTCGGGTTAGTACCAATTTTAACATTAGCTTTGGCTGTTCCCTAGCACAGGGCTCAGCACTGGGTGTCCATTGATTTTTGCTTGGAGTGTGGGATTGTGTTGTGAGATGTGTCAGGGTGAGATGAGGTGTTTCCTAACATGCTGCTGACATCATGGATAGCTGGCTATGTTGTGTACTGATGGGATTGCTTAACCTTTTACAGGCCAGCACAGATGCAGGAACAGCAGGAGCCCTGACTCCCCAGCACATCCGTGCTCACTCTTCTCCAGCCTCGCTGCAGTTGGGAACAGTTTCTCCAGGAGCACTGACCCCTTCCAGCGTAGTTCCTGTAGGCTCACCTTCTCAACACCTCCGCCAATCATCTTTTGAAATACCCGATGACGTGCCCTTACCACCTGGTTGGGAGATGGCAAAGACACCTTCAGGCCAGAGATATTTTCTGAAGTAAGTAACATTTCGAAAGGAATAAGGCGACTTACATTCTTGTTTTTTCCATATTTTGTGCTTGCCTTATTTGTGTAAGCCCATTCTTTTTAAACAATGTGGATCACAGTGAAAAGTAAGCTTTCAGCCAGAAGCTCAACTTGCAGTTTTAAAGTTTCAGCATACTTAAATTACACTGATTTGAAACATTGAATAGCACTCATGGACACATTCAGAGCATTGAAATATTATTGATCATAGAATCGTAGAGTTGGAAGAGACCTTCTGGGCCATCCAGTCCAAACTTTGAAGGAAAATCACCTTCAAAGCACCCCTGACAGATGGCCATCCAGCCTCTGCTTAAAAGCATCCAAAGAAGGAGCCTCCACCACACTTTGGGACAGAGAGTTCCACTGCTGAACAGCTCTCACAGTTGGGAAGTTCTTCTTAATGTTGAGGTGTAATCTGCTTTCTTGTAGTTTGAAACCATTGTTCCACGTCCTAGTCTCCAGGACAGCAGAAAACAAGCTTGCTTCTTTTCTCCCTTTGACTTCCCCTCACATATTTATACATGGCTATCATGTCTCCTCTCAGCACTCTCTTCTGCAGGCTAAACATGTTCAGCTCTTTACGCTGCTCCTCATAGGGCTCGTTCTCCAGACCCTTGATCATTTTAGTTGCCCTCCTCTGGACACATTCTAGCTTGTCAACGTTTCCCTTCAATTGTGGTGACCAGAATGAGACACAGTGTGATTCCAGGTGTGGTCTGACTAATGCAGATTAGAGGAGTAACATGACTTCCCTGGATCTAGACACTAGACTCCTATTTATTCAGGCCAAAATCCTATTGGCTTTTAAAGCCACCACATCACATTGTTGGCTCTGATGTGGAAGAGTTCGCAACACACACTTTGCAGTGACTGAGAACATAGTTGACAGAAGCCTTTGCCTAGAGAAAGAGCATGGCCAAGAGACACCTCTGCTTGGAATATTCATAGTGATTATTCAGACATAGCCATGTTGGCCATACAGCAAAAAAATAAAATCCATAAACAACCTAAATGCATCAAACACATTATGCAGGCTTTTAAGCACAACTGGTGCCTTCATCAAGCCACAAATGCTAAAAAGATACAGAAGAAGAAAAATTGTGTTGGAGTCACCATCTGATGTTTCTATTGTAGCTCAGTTGGTTTGGGCAAAAATCAGTTCAAGCAAAGACAGCTCCCCGCTTGACCATGTGAGGACAGAGACAAAGACTGGTGACATTTAAACTTCATTAGCAGCAGTGACTATACCTATATTTCTAACATCTTCACTTTTCTTCTTTTGTATGATTTTGTTAGCATATTTATCCTGATGAAAAAATGAGTGCAGCTTCAAAGGCTGCTTCGTGCATTTTGATTGGCAAATAAAAGCATTGTCCTTTTGTAGATTTTGGATTTTGTTTTATTTTGAGAGTTGCTACGTCTGACTCTGCCTAAGACATTTCAATACGTCTATACAGCTTTAGGCCTGCGAAAGATGGAAGTATTGGAGTCATGTATTGAGGCCAGATTCTTACAGCTTTGTTTCTGATTTTTGGCATATCTGCCACAATATTTTTGACTGAATTGGCAAGAAAAGATTGCCTTCTCTTATCTGTTATGAAACCTCTACTAGATTGAATATTTTTCCATGAATGAAAACACTCTTTCCTGGTTAAAGTACTCTTGCAATAGTCATAGTGCATAAGGGAAAAAACAGTTGTGATACATGTACAGAAACATAAATTATAAACTTGTATATATGTCCTAAAATTAGAAGAAAATTATGGAAGTTGTTTATTAGCTCCATCCTGTTACATACATTTTAGAAGCTTGGTATTTTCATATTTTCAATCAAATCCACTTTCATAGAATCATTGAGTTGGAAGTTACCTCGTGGGCCATCCAGTCCAACCCCTTTCTGCCAAGAAGAAGGAAAATCACATTCAAAGCACTCCCCACAGATGGGCATCCACCCTCTGCTTAAAGGCCTTCAAAGGAGCCTCCACCATACTCCAGGGCAAAGAGTTCCACTGCTTAACATCTCTCATAGTTAGGAAGTTCTTCCTAATGTTCAGGTGGAATCTTCTTTCCTATAGTTTGAAGCCATTATTCTACGTCCTAGTCTCTAGGGCATCAGAAAACAAGCTTGCTCCCTCCTCCCTATGACTTTCCCTCACATATTAATATATGGCTATCATGTCTTCCCTCTCAGCCTTCTCTTCTGCAGGGTAAACATGCCCAGCTCTTTAAGCCACTCCTCATGGGGGCTTGTTCTCCAGACCCATCATTTTAGCCCCCCTCCTCTGGACACATTCCAGCTTGTCAACATCTCTCTTCAATTGTGGTGCCCAGAATGGGGCACAGTGTGATTCCAGGTGTGGTCTGACCAAGGCAGAATAGAGGGGTAGCATGACTTCCCTGGATCGAGATAAGTGGTTCTCAGCCTGTGGTTCCCCAGGTGTTTTGGCCTACAACTCCCAGAAATCCTGGCCAGTTTACCAGCTGTTAGGATTTCTGGGAGTTGAAGGCTAAAACATCTGGGGACCCACAGGTTGAGAACAACTGATGTAGACAGTATATTCCTATTTATGCAGGCCAAATCCCATTGGCTTTTTGCCACTGCATGACATTGTTGGCTCATGTTTAACTTGTTGTTCATGAGGACTCCAATATTTTTTCACACTTACTGTTGTTGAGCCAGGCGTCCTCCTGTTGAGCCTGGCTTTAATCCATTGTCCCTGTGAGGAGCCTTGCATACTTAAAGTTCTGAAGTTCTGCTATTCCTAATAGTTTTGATCAACACATAGAATCATAGAATTATAGAGTTGGGAGAGACCTTGGGGGCCATCCAGTCCAGCCCCTTGCCAAGAAGCAGGAAAATCGCTTTCAAAGCACTCCCAACAGATGGCCATCCAGCCTCTGTTTAAAAGTCTCCAAAGAAGGTGCCTCCGCCTCACTCTGGGGAAGAGAGTTCTACTGCTGAACATATATTCTTGGTATATTTGAACTTTGTTCATGACCATGGACAGATGATCCATAATCCATTGGGTAGCCTTTTCCTCTTATGCAAAATTATAGGAATATGTCCTTGTAGGAACGCCCATTTAGAATGGTTGTTATTGGCCTGTATAAGTGCCAATCTGCAGAAAAGCATTCCAGCAAACCACTAAGTGCTGTTTTGAATTTGTGTAAGATGGTGATTTCGTATCTCTGCTTTTTTAAAAGACAAATGATGAGTAAGTGCTCTTGGAGTGATTTGGGATGAAATAAGTAGTCTCACCTAAGCATTGTTGATACTACATTATTGTTTCTCCCATTCTCCAAGGAACTTAGTGCAGCCTCTTCTCTCCCACCCCTCACCCTCATTCTATCTTCACAGCAACACTGAGGATGTGTTAGAGAGAGAGCAAGAGAATGCCAAGACTTACAGTGAACTTCATGACTGAACAGGGAATTGAACCCAACTTTGTCCACTACACCACATTATATCTCTGTATACTTATTTGAATCACATCAGTTAAGTGCTTTGGCTTAAGATAAGTTTTTCTTTCACAGAAATAGCCGGGTATAAATATTTCCTAACATTTTCAGTTGGCTTTCACTAGCTTAGTTAGCTGCTGCAATGGCTAACTATGAAAGAATGATTCAAAATAAAATTGGAATAATTTGGGACTATTTGGAAAGCTTAGCAAAAGAAATACAAGACTATACATTTAGCTGTAGTTGGTGAAAGTGGAGCACACTGTTTCATGCAGAAGTTGCAAATTCAGTCCCCAACGTATTGTTGAAGGCTTTCTTGGCCGGAATCACTGGGTTGCTTTGAGTTTTCTGGGCTGTATGGCCATGTTCCAGAAGCATTCTCTCCTGACGTTTCACCTACATCTGTAGCAGACATCCTCAGAGGTTGTGAGGTCTGTTGGAAACCAGGCAAGTGGGGTTTATATATTTGTGGACTGTCCAGGATGGGAGAAAAATATGCTTGTCTGTTTCAGGCAGTTGTGACTGCTACAATTGGCCACCTTGATTAGCGTTTAATGGCCTTGCAGCATTTAATGGCCTTGCAGCATTTAATGGCCTTGCAGCTTCTAAATGCTAATCAAGATGGCCAATTGCAACATTCGCACTTGCCTCAAACAGACAAGAGTTCTTTCTCCCACCCTGGTCATTCCACAGATACAGACTTCACAACCTCTGAGGATGCCCGCCATAGATGCAGGTGAAACGTCAGGAGAGAATGCTTCTGGAACATGCTCATACAGCCCGGAAAGCTCACAGCAGCCCAGCCCTCATCACCTCCAGTTAATAGGATTGGGCGTTAGATGATGAGATAGATAAAGCAGTGGTTTTCAACCTGTGGGTTCCCAGATGTTTTGGCCTTCAACTCCCAGAAATCCTAACAGCTGGTAAACTGGCTGGGATTTCTGGAAGTTGTCCAAAACACTTGGGGACCCACAGGTTGGGAACCACTGTGATAGACCTTTACCTAAAATCTTTCCAAGAGCAGCTTACCAAAAAGTATCTATTAGTCAATGTAGGTAGAAGACTAGAAGGATTATTGATTTGACGAGGCATAAGGTAGTGATGCATATGTTTGCCCAAAGGGTAGCCAGATAAGAGTTGAATTTACGGAATAGTCCTAAATTTGATTTGGTACTGCTCAGAGTTTGTTTTTGAGTTTATTCATCTGAATAAATATAACATATTGTAAGTGGTGGTTCAGCTTTTTCAACAGGTCCTTGAACCACACTGTAAACTACTTACATTCCAAAATTTAACAAGATCCACATGGATGCTGCTTTGTTATTTGTGGTTTAAAGGGGACTTGTTTCAAAACAAACCATAGTGAAAATTAACCTTGTATGACATGACAAGCTATAATGAATTAAGAAGACATTTTCCCCCCAATTTCCTTGCAGCCACACTAGGACGAAACAGGAAACAAGCTGCTTTCAGGCTTATTTTCATGGAGCGATACACTATTTTGACATCAGA